TTATTTTCCTATGGGTTCCGTATCAATGTTTCCCGTTAGACAGCGACGCCGCGCTTACGCGCTTTATATTTTGTCTCTATGCAGTTAAAGCAGTACGATTGCTTTGAAAAAACAAGTTCAGATCTTCCAAAATATGTCAAAATAAAGAAAACATTTTTTTTCAAAAAAAAAAATTAAAAAAAAAATTTTTTTTTAAAAAAAATTTAAAAAAAAATTTTTTTTTTTCAAAAAAAAGTTATTTTTTGTCCAATTTATAGTTTTTCAAAAATCTTTTTTTTCGAAGTAAATTTTTTTCAAAAATGTTAATCGTTTTTAAAAGAAATAATAAATTTTGGTACGGGAAGTTCCAGCAATTTGCCTTAAGGCACGATGCCCTAATTGCCTTAAGACAGAATTCCACTTACAGCTAGTTTCATATTTTAAGTGAATCAATTTGTCAAACCCTGTTCATATGTGTATCCTTCAATCTGCCATACATATACTGTATCTTATATTATTTTAATTTCTGGCACATTTCAGCTGCTTTTTGGCAATAATAATGTAGACATTTCATTTTTCTTATTCATAATCATGAATTTATTATACATATTCTAATATTGTCTAGGCTCATAAGTAAGTTGAAATTATTGGCAGTCAATCAATGGCAAACAATGTCTCAAATATTTTCAATGTCAAACAATGACATGTCGTTTTTTGTAATTTTTTCTATTTATTTCTACAATCTAACTATATTTTTATAATCTCATACATCCTAAAAAATTCCCTTAACAAACTTTAGAAAGATTTATCAAAATCCGAACAATCGTTTAGAAGGAGAATTTTATATATAAGATGTACTTTTTTACCTTCTTCTGCTATGCTAAAAAATGTATCAGTTCCTGAAACTTCTGAAGTGGTGCTCGATGCAGAACTGACAACGGCCTGAAATAGAGATTTTTAAATTTGTTTACATTTTTAAAATACCATTCAATGAACGACACAAATATTTCAAAACATAATGAACAACTGGATAAATATTTAATGAATGCAAATGCAAACAAAATAATAATGTTTACACTCTTGTCTCGATTATAAATAAAATAACAGATTGTAAATTAATATCGAAATATAAATAGAATGATTAATAGTAAAAAAAAACATGCTAGCTCGATAGATAAATAAAATTAGTATTTATTTACTCCTTAATACTACTTGAAAAAGTAATTTAATAAATATTATTTGATATGTTCTGATTTTTCTTCACATTTAATTATTATACTATAAACATTGTCTCTATGTGTTTTTAAGTAAATAATAATCATATTAATTAATATAATTAAATAATAATAATTAAAATAAATGTAATTAATATTATTTAATTTTGTTATTTAATGTTTTTGCAATTTACATTTTTATTAAAAAGATTTATAACTGTGACTTGGCTCAATGACTCATTTTTTAATTATTTATGGCTTAAAAGGTTTTATTAATAATTTAACACAATTTTGACTATAATAAATATTGCATTATTCATAAAATATATATCATAAGTATGGAATTCAATTAAAAATTGGATGACAAATATAATAATTCAGAATACCAAGTTATAATGTTGTTAAAGCAAAAGTTTCTAACATTATATAGCTTTACAGTAACTCGATATACTTATAAATCACTCATAAATTAATAAATGGGTTTCTTATTGATTAATTTGATTATTTACACATGTCGAGAAGTTCATGCAACTTAAGGAAAGATGACACTTACACCTAGTTCATTTTTTTTCATTTATTAATTTTTTCTATTTATTTATCGAGAATGTAATTCAACTTGTAATTATATATTACTTCAAATTTTGCATTTCTTAATGCTTATATACAAAGATTATAATTGTAAAATTATATTTTGGTCAACACACAACTGATACAAGAAAGAAAAGATTTTAAATATCACTTTATAAAAAGTATGGAATTAAATTGAGAATTAGATGACAACTTTAATTATCAGCTGGGTAGAATTATTGTTTGAATGGTACGGAATATAATATAATATAGCTGGGTCAATAAAAAAGGAGATTAATTAGATAATATAGAAATAAATGACTTTAATTATTGGAATTCCTGAAATTGCCTTCAAGAAACTATATACATGTATATGTATATGTTTAACAATTGGATACAAAATAAAAGAATTTATTTTATACTAGTTACATATAAAAAAAAGTTAAAAAGATTATAATCATATATGAGGATTAAACCCACAGATTAGTCTTCGACTAGAATAAAAAATAAAACTTATAAGAAAGTACAAGATTGAATTGAATTTAACGATTTGATTTCAATTCCAAAACTTGTCTTCGAGTAGAAAGAGAAATAAAGATGAGCATATACCATATAGTATAAGGTTGTACTAAATTCTCAGATTTATCTTCGAGTAAATTATATAAATAGTTTTATTAATTATTCTGATTGCAA